GGAAGTGCATCCCCAGAACCCAGGCTTAATGGGCCATACTGTACACCACCTCACTGTGAAGTGGGATTTGGGGGTCAGCATGCGGAAAAACCCACCGTAAATCAGGAGCATCTCGCAGGCCATGGCTGCAGCCAGGCCGAACAGGCAGCACACTCCGCGCACGACGCCTGAAGATGAGACTTTAGTCAAAAATAATAGCCAGTCTGTTTACTGCGCCTTGAGATGGATTACATGGCACTGAAATAAATACTTCCAGATGGAGTTCGACAGAAATCATGCTGAGAGAAAAGACTTTTTTGGCAACGAACATTTGGCTACATCATTTTAATGGCATAGAATTTTCATATCAATGTTTCAACAAATATGAAAAGGCTGGCTGCCATGGCGATTTCTGCCAAAAGTTAAAAAAAGGACAATTTTAAAGGGGATTTCCAAAGATTAAAAAAAAAATCTTTATGATAAAATAATTTGGATGTAAACAAAGTCATTCAGAGTTGTTTGAAGTAAAACATGCTGTTCTAGAGAAACATACTCAAAATTGTTCACAGTGACGATGTGATAGGAACCAGACATCTTAAGCATTGCATGTCTCACTGATGCCTGAGACCTGAAACAGTCTTTTATGATCATTTTGTGAAAACTTCTGGCTTAAAATGTATTTTTTTAAATGCACTTCTGTCTTGCAGGCCACTGAAAGGCAAAACTGCCGCCAAAAACCCTTACATTTTTCAGAATTGCCACTATTTTACCAGTATCAGCTTTACAGTTAAAGACTCGGATGCGTGTAGGTTCATTGGCGGTTTTGGATAGTAAATAAAATAGCTGTATTTGCATTGTAGACATTGCAACTTCTGGTTCCTTTTCCCTTCCACTGTGAAGAAATCTAAGTCCATAAGCTTCTCTACAGTCAACCACTTCACATTAAACCACTCTAAATGACTTTGTTTACATCTAAACGATTTAATTTTGAAAAATGGGTGGAATTCCCCTTTTAATAGTGGTCCTGTAAGGTCAGCGCTGGGTACTACTGTTCTCTTGACATTCTGATTGACTTATTTCCACAATAAATATTAGCTTTTACTTCAGCGACTCCAGCACTTAATGACGTGTTCCGGCACTAGGAGGTTTGGATATCGTTTACTGTCGATAAAACACTGCCCTGCTGGACAACTACTGAATGTCTTTCCCCTTCCAGTTGACTTATTATGCGCAGTGTGATTCTGCCAGCCTAGCCATTCAGTTGACGTCCAAACAGGCAATTTCATGGTGTAATAACAAGGTATTCAAAACCATAGGGAAGAATGTCTCCACTTGTAAATGTGCAATTGTTAGGGAAAGGATCTGAATGGCCTCAGAGACACCTAGTACAGGAACCGGCGTTTAGCGCCAGTGCTAGGGATGGAACTGGAATGCAGAGACATAAAACTGCTTCAATGGAGCGTTTAGTGGAGTGTTTGTGAGGCACTGAGAGGGGCACAGGCCCATAGAAAGCCTCCGCTCTGTAGATGTCAGCAGCTCAGCACGAGGCGTCTGTCCTCACACTGAGATACGGAGACGATGGGGCAATAAACAAGAGTGGAGACTCATCACTCCTACGCCTGCTGTCTTTGGCACAAAGCACTTTGTAAAGTGAGACTGGGGCAAACCACAAGTAAGGTACGAAATCCTGCAGCCAAGGCAACTTCGAAATAACCGCCAACAAAGGTTAAATGGCTCCACCAAGCTTGAAGATGGACATTTCTTAGCAGTGTCAGAGACTTGGCCACATTTTAAGATTTATCTGATGCTGTAATCATGTAAAATGCTATGGTTTTGCTTTCAGCTCTTCTAAAATTTCCTTTAATAATCTCAGGATCTCTGCTGCTGCTACAGTTCGAGCTGGCCGCTGTGCTGAGTGTGCTCTACACGAGACTTTCATATAAAAACCCAGATTAATCTGTAAATCTAACTTGCTACTTTAATCAAAAACATTACAATAAAACGGCTGTGATATCAAGAACGGACACTGAATGTTATATTTAACCACAGATCTCAAAAGTAAACTTCTATCAGGCAGAAGCATAATGAGTTACTAAGAAACCAATAGGTGCATCATAAACAAGCATAAAAGAAAGCAGACGGGTGATGAAAGCCAATCTCAGAGAAAGAACCCTGCTGCCGTTTCTGCTGATTTGGGGGTTTGCCTCGGGGTAAACTGGTGGCTCCGTGCATGCATATTTTGGAACACAATCATATGAGCTTTGAAATTCCTTGGATCATTAGCCCTTAATTCAATGTCAAAGTTAATTATCTCAATGATTGGACTGCAGTAATATGAGGCAGATAAAGCCTCCAAGAACATTCAGTCATATGGGCGGACGACTACGGTCAATTACATGCTGCCACAGATCTACAGTAAAATAGGATTTGTAACTTAAGTTTTTTTCCTTGCACTGAAGTATTTTGCGATTTTTTTATACCTCACTTCAAACTGCATATACATTCATTTTTAATGCCTCAGCTCAACTGCTGGCCCTAATATTCATCAGCTATAGACAGATATTATATGTGAATAAATGGAGCTAAATGAGAATATGCCTCATATGTCAGCAGGCCAACTGAGCCACAGCTCAGACTCTTAAACAAGAGCTTAATTCTATCTTTAATGTTTTTAGCACTAAGCATGTGGTAAAAGGCCAGAGTGAAAATTACTTATTGGTACAATTAATCATGGTCTTAAACTGGCTCCAGTTGCAATAAAACCAAACCAGTTACAAGACAACTCAGCCCCATGACACATACACACACACTCACACACACACACCTACATTTAATTATTTCTGCCATTGTTAGTGAGGGACTGTGAGCAATGCCACTAGAAGAACATCTGGAAGCCTTCACTCATCATCATAAGATGGAAAACCATATAGCACCTGTTTTATATATTAAAGAATATAGGGTGCTGTAATATACTTCATAGTTTCCTTCATTAAACATGCTAACCCCATGTTTGTACTTCAGCAATCGCTGAAACGGCTCACTGAGCACAGATTCAGTGGAGCATATTTAATTAAGCATTTCTGATTATTAAATTTTAATACTTAAAAAGGTCATTCTTACGCTAAGATGGTCACCAATATTCCATCTGACTGAGACTAATGCTGGAACCTAAAGTGCCTAAAATCTGAATGAGGCAAAAAGACCCCTGGAATCAACCGGAAACCACAGTGCGGTTTCCTCTTTATCGCAGCCTCTTGCTGTTGAGCAGCACAGTAGAAGTAGACAGCCAGCATCTTTACTGGAAATAAGTCGCACTGTGCCACCGAGTTCAGAGCCTGGCCCCTACTTTGCATTATACACAGTACTGTGTAAAGGTCAGAGATCATTCTTCATTTATGTAATTTCAAATCAAAACGGCCAATAAATACAAGTTCATTTTTGAGTGTCAGGTGAAAAGCAGAAAAAACTTATTAAACAGAAAATTACACTAAAGCCTCAACAATATTAATTTTTAGTATTTACTCTGTCTACAGTTTGCCTTTATTACAGCTTCCTTTCTTTTGAGGGACCTGCTTTCAGAAATCAGGGTTATTTTTCCACACCTCCAAAAGTTCAGTCTTAGAAGTTGGTTGTATTTTCTGCTTCTCATAATCCAAGCAATTCCAAACACATTTAGTAGGTCTGGACTATGGGGTGACCAGTCCAATGTTCCGAGAACATGAGCAGCTTCTTTGTTTGATTTGCAAGTTTTATTCTTTCTTGCCTATTTTCTTTTTTCAGTAACGGCTTCTTGACAGACCCACAACACTGAGTTGTCTTCCCACAGTGGAAGGATGGACAGAAAAGTTTAGATCTTTTTTTTAGATCTGAGGCAAGAGTGGAGCTTTAAGTACTGTTTATCTAATGGTGACAGTTCTGGTGGTCTACCAGGTCTTGTGCAGTTGTTTGTGGTACATCTAATCATTTATTGAACTCCAGCTTTGGAAAATAGTTTTTTCACTTGTTTTTCTTTGACTTTCCTTTGAGTTGACATTTGAATTATCTTATATCCGATCTCAAAATGATCTCCTGAAAGTGAATAAAAGTACTTTTTGAGAGGAAATGTAATAAATCAAGGGCGGTCTCTGACTTTCACACAGTGCTGTATATGTATATGCTCACTGTATTGCATGTGCTTATCTTTTGAGTGGTCTAGTTATGTATTGCTACTACACTTAGCCTACTACACTTAGGCTACTGTTGCCAAATCAACAAGAAGAAGCTTTGCTGGGTTTTATTGTCCTTCTATAATGGCCAAACATACTAATGAAATCTGATAATTAACTCAATCAATTGCACTGAAAAGGAAAACAAACATCAAGTGAATTGCTGAAGAAAAAAAAAAAAACTGTTTACCAAATTCTATTCAATTACATCATAAGAAATCACGGCTCACATCGACAAAAAATCCTGCTGTAAAAAGCGCGAAACAAAACTGCTCCAAAAGGTTTTGATGGGAGTTCTCTGCATTAATATTTCCTGTGTCTGTCGTGGTTGCTGGCTTAGAAATGATCAAGTAGCCTCAGTCATTGGTAAATTGCTCATTACCTGCGAATTACACACTGACCACAATAGCGCACTCTCCAGATTGGCTGTAAGAACTCTCCCAACACTCCAGCAGCCATTTCTCATGCGCAAGCTAGCACTTACGACACCCACACTACTGCACATGACGGAAAATTATAACTCTGCAGAGCCGAGCTGCAAACTCGTATATGTATGTGAGGAAAATAAGTAGGCATTTCTCAGCTGTAAACAGAACTCCCAGCAAACAAAACAAAATTAAATATCCTTTGTATTTCCAAAAGGATAGAAATTACGCTTATTTAATTCTGCAGTAGAATTATGCGACTTTTACGAGGAAAATTACACTGACCACAAATTGCGCTCAACAATTCCAATACTTCAGAGCTTGACCACTTTAAAATGGGACTGCGCTGCGATTATAAATATAACTCTTTTACGGCTCTGTTATTACGTACTGAGAAGGGGGAGAGCGGGCCAATCTTGTGGCTGTAGCGCCTGATGGCCTCTCTGATGTGGGCGGGCTGGATGGCACTGCTCTGAGCCTCCGCGCCACAGGCTGCTGCACTCTGCAACGGAGAGAGAGAAAAAACACACAGCCGATATTATTACTAAATCAAAAACACAGTGGGAGTCAGGCCGTTTAACGCACAAACACAGCCAGAGGAGGCCGTCCAGACACGATACGCACACGATACGTTTCTGAAAGACGCTCTGGATCAGGATTGGGCAAGAAGCATGCACACTGCCCAGGCCTTAACCTCCACAGGCATATAAATGCTATGTGTCACTTCATGCTTTATGTACTTTCAGTACAGAAGTTCAACTAATATACAGAGGTTTGACAGTAAATGTTAGTCAACTGCTATTCGCTGTATGTGATCGGCTATAATTGGTCTGTGTCTCCAAGCGCACTTGGCTGCAGGCGGAAAGGAACAGTTTGACTCAAGATCTCTCCGAGGGTAAAAACAGAAAAGGAAAAACAGCTTCCCTATTTTGATCCTTGCAATAAATCGGCTGTGGTAAAATTGACATGGCAGGACATGTGAGAGAGTGTAATATACATTCCCTGCCAGCGTTTCCACTCTAGACGCAGAGGTTGGGATCTTGAAGACTGTATAGAGAAGACCACTGAACTATATATTAAATCAGATATATAGGATATTGCCAGCTTTTTATTAACTTCCTAAGTAGCACTGGTAAACTTTAAATAAATAAAGGTTACTTAAGGTTACAGTTACTTATTCATTTGTGCACATTACCAGTGACTCTGATACGCCCCCCCCCCACAAATGAATAAGTAACTGTCCCCAAAAACTTGTACCAGTACTGTGCAAAAGTCAGAGACCACCCTTCATTTAATTTCCAATCAAATAATAATAATAATTATAATAATAATAATTATTTTTATTTATATAGCACTTTTCATGCCAGTGGCAGCTCAAAGTGCTTTACAGACAGGTGATAAAGCTTAACAGTAATGCAAGAAATTATAAGTATGAATTTAGAATCATAAGAAAATGACACAGATCAAGTTAAAAGATAAATACCACAAGGTGTAGAGTTTTAATGAAATGCTAAGATAAAAAGATACGTTTTTAGGTGCTTCTTAAAAGTGAGCACTGAGCTTGACTGTCTAATAAAAGGTGGAATTGAGTTCCACAGTTTAGAAGCAGAATAACTGAAAGAGTCTCTCTATGTTTTCTGTATTTTACTGAAGATGTTTGCAGAAGGTCAGTATCTGCAGATCTAAGACCAGTGCAGTTCTTTTAAAGCAGGAGTGATATGAGCTCTTTTGTTTTTGTTTTTGTTAGGATCCATGGTGCCGCATTTTGTACAAGTTGTAAGGGATGTGTAGTTTTCTTAGGAAGTCCAGCAAGAAGAGCATTACAGTAGTCAAGTCTGCTTGTAACAAATGCATGAACTAGTTTCTCTGCGTCGCTCTGAGATAGAAAAGGCCGAACTTTAGCGATATTTCTTAAATGATAAAAAGCTACTTTAGTGACCGTGTTTACATGTGGGGTAAATCAGAGCTCAGAGTCTAAGATCACACCCAGGTTTCGTACTTCAGGTTTGGTATCTGAAGCTAAAGAACCAAGATTCTCATAAAGCAGCTTTCTCAGAGTTTTTGAACCAACAATCAGTATTTCCATTTTTTCATGATTTAACTGTAGACAATTTTGCGACATCCACTGACAATTATCTGACACAAAGCTGGTTAGTCTGTCTACAGAGTCTTGATCATCAGAAGGAATAGAAATGTATAATTGTGTGTCGTCAGCATAGCTATGAAAATTTATATTTTGTTTCCTAATGACATCACCTAGGGGTAGCATGTACAAAGAGAAAAGCAAAGGCTCTAAAACTGAACCTTGTGGGACTCCATAAGAAATGCTATTATATGCTTTTAACTTTTAGTTTTCCACATCTCCAAAGTTCAGTCTTAAAAGTTGGTTACATTTTCTGATTCTCACAATCCAAATAATCTCAGACACATTCAGTGATATTGAGGTCTGGAGTCTCGGGTGAAAGCTTCAAGTACCCTTTATCTGATGGTGACAGTTTTGGTCTGCCAGGTCTTGCATGGTTGTTAGGAGTCCCGTTTTTGCTACATCTTATTTTTTTTTTTTTAACTGCAGTTTGGAAACTCCTGTTTTTTCACTTACTTTGACTTTTCCCGTCTCCTTGTGCAAGTGGATTATCTTATATCTAATCTCTTCAGAAATGCCTCCTGAAAAATGAATAACTTGTTCTTGGCTGTTTTAACTGGAAATTAAATAAAGGAAGGGTGGTCTCGAACTTTTGCAGAATACTATATATCATACTGAATTTCAGAAAGGATCCAATATGCGTTATTTACACCTGTAAAATCATTTTTAAAACCGTTTTCCTGTTCCACTGCCAAAAGGCTGACGTTTCAGAGAGGAGGGTAATCAGCAACATCTAACTGGCTGTTACAGCCTGACAGAGTAAACACAGCCTATTCCTGCTCCAGAAAATAAGCTCCAGATTTTTCCTAGATCAATAGACTTTGAAGTGGGTTGTTGTTTTATTCAATTTTCTTGTGAATTCCCTATTTAGATACAGTTAAGATCGTAACTGGAAAATGCCACACAGAATGAGAGGAATTTTTTAATAAGCCCACAGAAATACAAGAGTCAATAAAATCAACAGGCTGAGCAAAGCATTTCTACAGGCAGTCATCTGTGTGTCCTCCATATCAATACTTTTCAGCCACACAGACAGACAAACACAGAGCAAGTTCAAATGACTTTTCCCCCTGTTGTCATTTTTTTAGGTCTTTTCATTCCTAGACTATACAGAATGATAGTGTATGATAAATATTGACAATGAAAGAATGCTTTACTCAGAATTACAGTGAAGACTATGAAACAACGTGAGAAAATGTGTGAAATGATCTATTTACTAGCTTATATAAGCACAACCTGTAAGACACACACCTTCTTCCTCTTCCGCTGCTTGCTCTTGCTGCTGGTGTCCTGACTGAGGCTACCGTTGCCCTGGGCCATTGAGTGCAGCTTGCCCTGGTGGCCTGAGCTCAGAGGGCCACTGGGGGTGGAGGGAGGGGTGTTGTCTGGAGATTCTGTTTCTCTTTTGGTAGACGTACCCTGCAGGTAAACCAGCAGAGCAGCACTTCAGTTATACAGTGTATAGGCTATAATGTATTTATGATGAGGGTGTCAAAGCTAATGTGTTGATACTACATTAAAAAGATAAATTAATGCCAGTGATTTCTAATATGTTGTTAACACATTTCCTTAGTTGGACCTTTAAAATCACCCATAGTTTCAGGTTGTTGAAACAGTTTACACTGTTGCACACTGTACGTTGTTAAGTAGCGTTTAAATGGCTTTTAATGCAATAATTTCAGCAGACTTCGCAGGACAGTGTTCAAGGGAGACCTATGGAGAAATCAATGAGCAGCAAACTAACAAAAGCAATGGCAAAGGTGAGAGCTACAGTTCTCCAGTCCACTTGAGAGCCTCGTCTTATATATACAGTCGTATGCAAAAGTTTGAATGCCTCCTGGTCAACTGACATGATTTGTTGATTATCCCCTACAGAGAACAAACTTATATGTGGTATTTTGTTTTTATTTGCTGAGTTTAACATATTGGCAAAAAATAAACTCTAAAATATAAAATGTGCCATAACTTTTGCACAGACTACATTTGGTGTTTTATTTTTGCCCAATATGTTAAATTCAGCAAATGAACAAAATGAACAGTAACTGTGCATTAAAGTGTGCAGAAGTGTGTTCTCTGTAGAGGATGTCCTTATTTCCACTCAGAAAATCACTGCCACTGTTTTTCTCACCGGATGTCACTGGAAACTGCATTTACCCTATGGAAATTGTGTGACTTTTATGTTTCATATTTTCAAAAAATCATAAAATAATAAAAATAATGGTAGAGAAATGCTGAAAGTAATAAACACATTCTGGTGATAGCCATAACAAAATGCACTGCACTACTTTTTAATTGGAAAATCTTTTTAGAGTGCAATATGAGCAAAAAAGCCAAATGTAATTCATTTATTTTAAATATTTTAATTGTTTGACAGCCCGTTGTTATAATTATAAATATATATTAAAAATAATCCTCAGCACTGCATTCAGTATTATCTAACATCTGTCTTTCTTGATCCTAGGCTTATGGAGAAACCATTCGCACACTAAAAGTTTAACATGGGCATTAAACAGGAAGGCTGCGCATTGTTTACATTAGTCAAAGTAACACATAGTAGCTTCAGGATGTCTCCTGAGACAACCCCAGCTGTCATTCAGTGCAGGGTGACTTTGTGACTTTTCTCCACAGGGGGCCTGCTAGGTTTAGGTAGGGAAAAATAACAACAATAATGGAATCAGGGCGAAAAATACTCAGTGTGCTTCCAGAACCAGAGTGGCCTTGGCGGAGTCCGAATGCAAGAGAAAGATGAGGTTTTGTGGTCACAGTGACAGAAAAGCCCCTCCATGGAAGAAATCCCACAGTACAAAACCACCTTGCACAAACTTGGCGGCCTTATTTGGCTGAAGGTCAAGCCCTTGTAGTAGGGATAGCTCTTATTCGGTTTGAATAGAGTTACCATTTTCCAAATCTATGAAGTCTGCTGATGCATCCCTGTATACGCTTTACTACAAATTTCCAAAACATCATCTAAACCAGTGGTTCCCATCTCGGTCTTCAGGGACCCCCTGACAGCCAACATTTTTCCTTCATCCCTATGTGTTAGGAGTTGCGCTAGAGCAAAAACGTGGTCCATCTGGGGTCTCTGAGGACCAGGTTGGGAACCACTCTTCTGTCAAGGCATAAATTTTCTATATGTAATAATAAAAAATAATAATAATTTTATTTGTTTGTTAATGATGATGGTGATGATGATGATTTATTACTATTACTATTATTATTATTATTAGGGATATTTGAGCTGATCCAAGCTTTTCTTTTTTGCTTTGGATGGATGCAGTATGTTTCTATCAGTTGTTCATCTGTCCTGTTTTTTGTGTTCTATTTATTTCACTGTAATGGTGGGTACCACTGGGCACTATTTGGGACTCTCTCGCTAGATAGAATATCTGTGTTATCCAGCTGCAGTTAACCTGCAGCAGTGCAGTGCTTTTTCAGAAGAAAAGAGAGATCTAAAAGTCAAGTGTTAAACTGTGTTGTGCTACGTTTTGTATAAAAACACTGATATGCTTCTTTCTGTCGCATAATAATAATAATAATAATAATAATATTGTTGTTATTTAATACATTATAATTATTGTGGTTGCTATTATTATTATTTCATTGTTATTATTATTATTATTATTATTATTATTATTAGAAGTAGTAATAGTAGTAGCAGCAGCAGTTGCAGCAGTAGTTATGATAGAAACAAGCGCTCCCCTCGATCAAAGCGAGACAAAGAGTTCTTTTGGAACTCTTGTGTTTGAGTAGAGGTTTCAAAAAAGTTAAAAAACCCACATTCTCTGTATCATCATGGACTGGGTTCAGTTTGCACCAATCAGAATACTGATTATGTGCATCTTATTCTGGTGTATAACTGATGAAGTACTAGGTGTAACTGATGTTCAGTAACAGAAGGTTCACATTTTTGCCAGCATCATTTGAGAAAGCTTTTGTGAGAAAGAGGAGAGACAGACATTTGTTGTATGACTTCTTTTTACAACCGTTTTGGTCTCAGTCCTACTAAAGTGATTAAAACAGGTGATTAAATAGTCTAAACTCAGAATATTTTTTATGCCTCTAGAAATCCACACATCAAACGTACGACATGTTCTGTTTATAGAAAGACAGAAGTAATGTAATGTCCAGGAGTAAACTGCTTTCAAATGAGCCGTCAGTTTGCACCAAACATATTATACTTCCCGATACCATTAGCCTACATGACATCAGGTCACATGCGAAATGTGGTTTTCTAAACTTGGAATCAAATTTGAATAAATGATTAATTTTGCCTGAACAGTTTGAATGAGATTGAATGAGCATCCCTGATTATTATTATGGTATACATAGTATGCAACTATATTGTTATCCGATTTATATTATTCTTCTTGTCTTTTATTATTCTTATTTTTCTGCCGTTTCTTTGCCGCGTAACTAGTCCCGCAGCTTTCGAGATATCGACACCGTTCTAACTCCAGATTGTCCGGCCTGATTGTGTGATGCATGCTTGTATACAGCTTTTTGATCGGATGCACGGATTCCGTGTGGCAAGGGAATTTTGCAGAATTTTTTCCCATAGAGAATGAATGGGGTGAACATTTGCATGCCAATCTAAGGTACTTCTGCTTGCCCGATCAACACCGTTTTTGATACACTATCTCAGGGCAGGCCCCTGAGCAGGAATCCACTGTCTTTCTGACCCACACTCATCTGTTTGTCGTTTTATTCCATCTTTCATCTCTCCGATAGACTTACATTGAGCGGATTGTTGGCAGCATGCCAGACATGATGTCACAATGGGCCGTTAACTCACACACCCATCCAAACTCACGCACGGAGCCTAATGTCTCACCCGCTCCCAGCCTAATGCTCAGCAGTGTCAGCACACAATGATTTTTTTAAGATGGAACTGCTTTTAAGGTGGAATTGCACTTAGCTAGCACAAGAACTAATCAACCGCCATACTGACCCGCACTCCTCTTTGTGTCGTTTTTTCATCCCTCATTCCTTTCATTGAGTCCCATTCATTTTTGCCACCACTCAAACTCTATTACTTCTTTACCCGACAGCTGCTGAAATGCATGTACTCACTCAAGGCACATCCCCAGGCTCTAATCCATAGCCATACTGACGCGCACTCCTCCTTCTGTCGTTTTTTCATCCCTCGTTCCTCTCACTGAATCTCATTCGCTTTCCCCACCACTCAAACAGTATTACTTCTTTGCCCGACATAGTAACCGCGGCGCAAACATTCCACGTTTCCTTTAGGAAATGCACTTTTCTAGTTATTATTATTATTATTATTATTATTATTATTATTGTAGTAATGTCATCAAAACTATGAAAGCACACACTAGTTTCTCTCATTTTCTTTGGGTCCTCTGGGTGCACAGGGCTCATGGCCTTGACTTGAGCAGTTTACAGAACATTCTCCAAACACAAGCAATTATTGGCTGAATCAGACCAGCGCAGGGCTTACCTCAGCACTGGAGCCGTGGTATTGGAAGAAAGTGGCTGATATGGCATGACCAAAAGGATCACCTGTTTTGGGGGTCATATCTTGTTTAACCAACAGGGCAAGGTCAACGATCTGAAACATAACAGCAATACCATCATGAGTAATGATGTTCCAGAAATGACTGCAATTTTTATCCAGTAACTGAAACTTTATATAACACTATCAGAACACCACATGATATATCGGCCTTAGCTGACTCTTGGGTTATTTTCAGGAGCCATTATAAGGTCTCATTTCGTGTTGACTTTCCGTGTTTATTACAATGAAAAAGGAGATGCCAGTTAGAGCATGTCAGAACCACTTCCTATAAACGAAACAGTTTGTCATTTTTAGTTTCTCTAGGAAACTTGAGTGGCCTACAGTGATGTTATTTCATGCTCCAGTTTATTTTGCCAGTGAAGACGTTAGGAGGGAAGGCCTAGTACATCAGCCTCTCTTTGACAGGTCCATTACATTCTTCACTCTCTCTTTGGTTGGAATATTACAAACAGGTGGTCACCATGCATCTTACCTGGGCAACTGTCTCATAGGCTAAATATGACAGGATCTCCATTGCAATAGCATTGGGCTTCACATCCAGGCTGCTGCAGTCCAGCCACTCTCGAAATTTGGAGGCCTTTTTGGCTTCATGAGAGATTTAGAGAAGAAACAGGATTAAACATGATGTAGTTTTTTGGGTCACATCAGAAGATACAAAGACATCAGTCTGCCAAAAAAAAGAATCTTTCAAGACCTTTGAGATGTTCGCATGCTCTCAGCATTGGGTGTGGATGTGCAACAGGGCTTCTCTACTGAGGATTCACTCTGATGAGTTTGCAGTGATTGCTCAAAGCAAGTGCAATATGATTTCAATATCAGATCAGCAATGTATCACTGAATGTGAAAATATAAATATAAGATCATAATGCTAATCAAACGATTATGGTTTTTAAAGAAGGTTTAATCTCAGTCCTTGAACAGAGAAGCTGGAGACTATAGCTAAAGTACAGATTTCATGTGTTATTAGATGGTTCCTCTTACAAACTGAAAAAATCTTAATCAGGTTGCCTTCATCTTCACCTCAACATCTTCTTATTTTCATGAAAAGATCATGTTTTGAATGTACTGATTTTATTATTATTATTTAGTTTGGTTTAGTTTTAGATTTCAATTTATCTCGTATTTGCTGTTTTGTTATAACTAAAGCTAAATTTAGATGCTAAAATCCACCAACTAAGTTGAACTAAGTAACTTGTTATGCATGTCAACATGGATGCATGTTACTTGTGTGTAAAGAAATACATATTAATCAAAATCTACATTAAAGTTAACCAATTACTAGAGATAGCACAAAACATCATTTTCTTTTCTGATACCAACACTGAAAGCTTGAGCACTGGCCGATACCAATAACGATCCCACACCCTTTCTTTAAAATTAGCTATTTTTAATTGAAGCGCTTCACTTAAGACTAAAAGGGGGCCATCATGTCCAAACTACTCTACTAGCCCCACAAGGAGATAAAAATATGACAAGACACAATTAGTAGTGGTATTGTGCTCATTCTTGCTACAGCATTCTGCATAGCATACATCTGCTACAGCATTTTCAGCTGAGATGACGCCATCTCTACCAGCTACATTTGCTGATCAATAAGAGAGTAACTCGCACTAAATTGCAGGTAACGCAGGTGTGTGTGTGTTATTTGAAGTGGATGTGGTACACTTTTCCTTTGAGTATCCAGACAGTAAGTTGGCTTGTTTTGAACCTAGATTTAGGAACTAGACGTAGGCCGGACCTGGTGCTTGTGTTAAGATATTTCGCGCTGGTTTTGAGGCGAGGAGTGCGGGGTTACACAGGCCAGCGCCAGTGTGGAGAGATTGGTTATTGGTAAAGCCTGAAGCCAGTCAACATGTTATTAGTGCTGGAATGTGGCCTTCACAAACCAGAGGTGGTGTGTTCACATCCCACAGCCATGCTCTTAAACCTCGCAGAGCTCCAAACACACAGCCCCACAATGAACACCACACACAGGAGGGCAACTGCATCAAAGTGTACTGGAAATTTATTAAAGTAATGCTGAGTAGTTATTTTCATTACTGATGGACAGCTGCCCATTTAGACCTCCTTGACCAATATGCAACTGCCAATTTAGCTCAACATCAAAGTTTCTTAAATGCATACTTTTAAATGTGACGCCTTCTCCCAACCTAAAAATATCAAAATACTGTGCTGTGCAAAAGTCAGAGACCACCCTTGATTTATTTAGTTTCCAGTCAAACAGCCATGAAGTACAAATTATTCATTTTCCCGGAGATATTACTCAGGATATTAGATACTAGATAAAACACTTGTAGAAAGGGGAACGTCAAAAGAAAATAAATGAGGAAAAAAAAAACAAGTTTCCAAAACTGGAGTTAAAAAAATCGTTAAAAGATACAGAAAAAATGGGCCCTCTAACTCTGCAATAGCTGATAGACCACCAAAGCCAACATCAGCATAAACAGCACTTAAAGCTTTCATCTTTGAGAGAGAGGAGAAAATCAAGCTCCACTCTTACTTCAGATCTGGAAAACATCCACAGGTGTTTCTGTTCATCCTTCCACTGTGAGACAACTCAACACTATGGGTCTGAAAGGATGTGCAAGTCCAGACCTCAACATCAGCGAATGAGTTTGTGATTACTTGGATCATGAGAAGTGGAAAATGCACCCAAGGGCAATAAGGATGTCAGGAAAAATATCCACATACTAAATAGTGAAAAATATGATATTATATTTAGTTGAAACTTCTAAGACTGAACTTTAGAGGTGTGAAAAAATAATCCTGCAGATTTCTTTTAAAATCTGAAAGTCTCCTGAAAAGAATAGAAGCTGTGGTAAAGGCAAAGTGTGGAAACACTAAATGCTGCTATTATAATAATGATGTTATAATTATTAGATTTAATATATTATATTTAGTTGATTTTTTACCTGTTAAATATCTGCTTTCTGTGTATAACATTTTATATTGTTATTATAAATAATAATTATAATAATTTATACTATCATGGCAGTTGTGTTAATCACCTAAAGTATGTGTAAACAGTGGGGAGCACACACTTGTGCATTTTAGGGTTTTAACTGGAAGATAAGAGCTGAGAGAAAGATAAAATACAGTGGGGGGAATACTTACAAAAGCTGAGCTGTCGACTCTCACAGAAATCACTATACTGTGCTAAGTCCATGTTTCTCGTCTGTTTTTCAAGCCTCTGCAGATAAAGAGAGAAAAGATACATATACATACTGCACTGATATATGACTCAACATTTAAATGATGGGTTATGTTTCCAGTATTGTTCTATCAAGCTGATTTATGTTCAGTTAGTTCGCAGATTCACTGACGTGTAGCATTTCACAGCATCATCGCAGAGCACTTTCCACAGCTCCAGTAAATGCGAGAGTGACCTGTGGCTAATTACATAATGTCATGTTGTAAAACCCAACACTGCTCTGCACCTGGAGCAAAGAGTGTGCACGTGCATCTACTGCCGAGAATTCGGGGAATCTCCACTGCCAGTCACAGTCACTGTGGAATTTGGACTGAGGGCATTGAACAGGCTAGATTAAAGAGCATCTTAAATGATCAACACGTCTCAATAGCACGTCCTATTCAACAACGATAAAAAAAGTAAGACCATTTTATTTTACAAGGCAATAAAAGCACGGTCAACACTGCTGAGTTCACACTTAACACCACCCCTTGTCATGTTGAGACACATAATCCTCCAAGAGCAAAGAGTTATCTACACATAATATTATGGTACAGGTCTGATCACCCGGTAGACGCTATCCTCATGCACGTCAACAGCGCTTAACTGCCTGACATAAGGATGAACAATGTGGCTTGCGTCCGAGCAGCCAATGGAGTGCGCTCAGACAACACAATAGACTCATTCAGAGCATCTCTCTTAGTCCTATAATAATGTCTTCCATCAGCCTGCTGTGGTATCTGGAGGAATCAGGTGGGATACTGTGGTTTTGAGAAAGCATGAGGCAATGCTTGCACTGAGGCAATGCTTTAAGAGTCCTATCAAACTCCCTAAAAATACAGCACCAGAGAGTCACTATTTTGTCTTTTAGACGCGTGGCAAAGTGGACTCTCCTGACAAGAGGTCTACTGTCTACATCGCATTTAAGAGAGCACTGAGCTGCAGTGAACCCTCTTAATAGCACCCAAACAGGTTTCACTTTAGCTTTACAGCTGAACGTGTTAAGTTGCAGGTCAGAACCTGTAATTAGACATTTCCTCATCCTGGACCAATTTCATCCATTCACAAAACAGTCCATTTGAGCTTTCTAGCAGGGTATGCGCTGTAAAAAAGGGCTTATATGGTTTATAGCTTCCCCCCCTCTCTTCCAAACTGTGTGCTAATGTTTTTTTTTTTTACTTCCACAGAGCACTGGCTCTCCAGGCTGGTCTGAGGGAGGCATCGCAGCCTCGGGATGCTCTGACATCCCGGCTCGGGGCACGGCGCCCGAAGTGGGGCGGCCGAGATCACTTTCAGCCCACCCAAACCAACCGGAGCCTTTTTATTTAGTTAGCTGGCAGTCGTTGGAAATTCCATCTTTGAAAATACATATTAATGATGCTGAGCGCCGGCGCTCGCCCTGCCTGCCGCACAGCGCTGGAACTGTGATTTCTATTAGTGTCGTTAAGAGGCGAGCGGAGGGCTCGTTTGCAGTGCAGAGGGGGAATTCACAGCAGCCTTGGTGTCTGCGTTCGGCTCCAAATTGGGCTGAGAGTGATACGAGACTGGAGCCACTGAACTTAAATAACTCTTGTCAAGCAGTCAGCCAGAGACAGGAGAAATGTTATGACTGTGGCTTATTGACTGAAAAGCGCGGCAGGGGGATTTTACATTTGAATACTATGTTTAGCCGTTGATTAAATCAAAACTTTGACCCACCTGCTAATAGCCAGATCATACCCACAACTGAAGCGCTGCTATATGATTGGACATTGACAAATATTTGATTTGGCCAGCCTACTCTTTCATTTTGTGCCAGTGTGGTCTGGATAAAGAGAATCTCAATTTGTACTATTGGTAGCCTTGAGACTTCTATAGGCCAAGACCCAAAATATATTTTGGACATCAAGCAAAAGTCAAAGTGTGACAAAAGAGAGAGAGAGAGAGAGAGAGAAAAGAAATTTCAATCCCTTTTTCTGTGTGTGAGGGGCCAACCTAGGGTGGTCTATTAGTAGCAATAAGCAGTATCTTTAAGGCCTTTTGGACTTTTTCATTCAGCACTCAACATAATCAAACGCCTCTATGGGTGCTTGAGAGTTACTCAGGCACTGCTTCAGCATTAAGAGGTTCAGCTCATGAGTTCAGAAGTGGTCTGGATGTTGCCGGTGTTAGTCACTTGGGCTGCTTTTAATGGGCCTTACCAAAACAGTCTTAGAGTGAAGAGGATTGAATAAGGCACATGATGCTACTTACAGCTCGGAGGAGACCACAGAATAATATCATAAAGCTCCACGGTTAATCTACACAGCAAGGGAAGGAAGGACTCCATAAACCCATTACAGCTTCACATCACTATGACAAAAGCCCCCCCCTTCCCTTTTTATGAGGCTAGGTAATTTTACAAAGAAAATAAACATGCAATTCTGGGTAAATTCCAAAGGAAAGCTTTTAAGCTCGCACAAACAACTGCATTTTTTAAAGTGCCATAATGAAAAAGCAAATGAATTGTGAATCACATTGTTCTTTGTTCTCTGAGAAAACAGAAACAACATATAAAACTTGGGCAATTACGCACAGAGAGTTAAAAGGAAGTTCTAATAAGCTTGTTCAAACACATGAAAGTATAAGCGAGAAAGCTCACATTGGCTTTTCAGTGTTCAAAACTTCTTGCGGAATTTGAAAAATACGTTTCCCTGGAGTCCCGGAATAGAATTCTCTGGAGACTCGCTGTCATCATGGCATTAAGGCCAAAACAATGCGGATCCCACACAACATGACAAAGAGACTTTTAAGCATTCCCATCTGAACGTGGCCAAGAAAATAACAGATTGTCAAGAGATCTTAGAGGGTCCTTGAGAAGATTGATGGTCTGCCTGAAGAAATACAATCCACACACCACTGACAAAAGAGAGGCCATCGCAGTCTGATCAGGAGAATGAGCGAGCAGCTAAATTATAACCCTGTCTGACCTGATGCATGGCAGCGCTGGCTGAACACATGTGCTTTTAAAGGACTGGACATCCACCAAGCGTTTGACCCATAAGCTGTGGGTTTGGAAATCCCGTGAAATAATGTCCATGGTATTTACACAAGTGTTGTAATATATTTACATCACTGAGAAACCTTTGGAGAGTAAATGGAGGATATAGCAGAAGGCCTTTGAAAAAGGGTAATTTGCAGTAAATAGAAACTATATTCAAAAATTCTCAGGGAGTAGTGGAGAACTGCAGAGAGCCACGTAAATAAGTTTGGGGCATCAAACGTATAGATGCAGTCAAAATAAGCTCATCTCAACAAAAGAAAAACGTAAGCATTTTGTCTTCTGTGCTTTTATATGGATGTGAAGGTGAGCTTCTGGAGTCGAGCTTCTAGCGATTTCCAATACAGCTTGTGCTGTGCACAGGGGCCACCAGATAAAGCGGCTCGGTGCACTGTGGGTAAGCCATAAAACTGCTCCACGGGGCTTCATGAGTTGAGCAAAGTGGGAGGCCCAGAAGGATACGGTTCCTTATCCCCAAAAGATCATCCTGATAGCTAAAACACACCCATTAAAATGCTCAGTAGGAACAAAGTTTGGGGGAAACCGCAGGCTTTCTGGGCCACATCCAGAATGACTCGGGCTTGGTTTTAATTGAAACGGGACATATAAAGTCTTGTGGAGATACCCCCCACCCACACCCTGCTTTTTTTTTTCGGAACATGTCCATGGTTCCTGCTTCAGCCCGTTAATTACATCTTTCAGCCATGGGCCTTTATTTCAATTGGCAGAGTAAGAACAAACGGATGTTATAGAACGCTGCCTTACTTTTTCCTCTAGAATAGTGCTGAGCCAAGCGAGAGCTGGGGAAGGCGAGATGTTGAGGGCTTGGCATATGAGCTTCCAGATCACTGCAGTACTGCCTGTGTCCTACATTTGGATTCTTAGTATTTGTTCTACTGACTTCTTTTGTTAAGTTACATCTGAAAAAGCCCCCATGATAATGACAGTGGACAAGTCAAGGCTACATTTTCTCTTCTTCCTCCTCCTCAGTTTCACTTAGTGGCTCATTTGCATGTCTGGTTCTGTGCAGTGGAAAGTCGATGGCTCTAGCATCGCACTGGAAAATCTGTTAAAATGCTAAGTCTATTAGAGGACGAGAACAAAACGAAAACAGAGAAGGCCCTCAGTGGTGGGGCTTTGAGGTCTGGCTGCTTGTCTTCATTGGAACCTGAAAATTTTTAACTACCTTTTCTGTGCAGACAGACTATCAAGTGTTCCTGTGGTCAGAGAGTGCATTTAACTTGTTTAAACACCTTGTTTGAGTGAGATCCTATTCCCTAATGAGAAACCCTGGGTTCTAATCACACAGATACCCCATAGTACTCGCGCTTGTACCGCAAGAAATATCAATGTCTCTACCCCTCCCTTCCTCCCTCCACATGATAATCCTCTCTGTGTTCTCCCCCCAGGTCCCCCAGGTCTGAAGTGTTCAAAGCATGCAACATGCAATAAGAACTTATATAAATAAGATTAAGACAATACAAACAAAACATCAAAACATTTAATGTTTTACTTAATATTTCAAGTATTTTGGAAGCAATAAAAATATTAAATAATTAACTGTAACTGTAATTATCTGTATTTAAATTATTATTTGTAATTTAGAGGCAACATATATATATATATATATATGTTGCCTCTAAATTTGATTACAGCTTTAGAAATACCAGGTACTTCATTATCAATGCTTTATATATTTCTCAGTCATTTTAGACTCATCTATATCCCTGGTCATCTTTCTGGACACATCACAATATATGAATGAAGGAATAAATGAATGAATGAACGAACGAATGAATGAATGAATAAATGAATGAATGAATGCACTTTTGCATGTACACCACCATTCAAAAGTTCTGTCCTCTTCTGTCCTATTAATAATTGTTTTGATTTCATTTAACAATAATTTATAGAGAGTAGATTGGAATATTGTAACCTAGACATCAATAAGTATTTTAAGATGCTTTATTTTTTGGGAACAGCAAAAAAAGATTAATATACTGCAATAATCTTTTTACTGTCATTTCTTGATGAGTTGTCTACATAGAGCTTTCAGCACTTTTCAAATACAAGACGTTCCGAATGTTCATTTTTGTGTAACTTCATTCACAACAATCTACAGCATTCTCCATCATTAAGGAATCATCTACAGCTCTGTTCATCATACTGGAAATATCTAATATTTTCAGATTAATATTATAGATCTCTACTAATTAGGTAATATCTACAAAGTTGTAGAGTTGTAGCATCATACTAGAACTATTTTATATGTGTATTCTCAACAAACTGAGGAGTAATTAATATTGAAAACATCGATTCTAAACTTGTGAATGATGATTCCAAACTTATGAACAGTACTGCACATTGTCTCTGTCAGGACAAAACATGATATTTCCAAAAGGGTAACTGCAGAAAAGAAGAAAAAACTTCTTTAAAAAGTTTTTTTTTAATTTTTAAATTTGAATGGGAGTTAATGGTAAAACCACAATGATGTATTAATTATCTGAAACAGGGCATACTAGAATCTTCAGCCTACATGCATCTGTAACCCAGTTAGTTTTATTTTACTGAAAACACTGATTCCACACTTTTGAATTGTGATTCCAGACTTTTAAATAGTGATTCCAGACTTTTGACCAGTACGGTATGTGGGCTCAGGCCTGCATGTTTCAGGCCTGGTCAGCACTCTTCCTCCCACTCACCTCTATCCTCTCTTGCTTCACTTCGTCCATCTCCTCGTCTTCCAGCAGTGCCAAAAATTCCCCCGTCTGGTCGATGGAGCCCAGGAAGTCCTGCGCCAGCCGCTGCCTTTTGTTGACACTGCTGCTGGAGTATTTGTCTGGAAGTGGGCACGCATACACACACACACACACACACACATTTGCTGACTCTCTGCTTGCCCACATCTGCAGGCCAGCTGGCCATGTTTACACCTGAGCCATGATGGGACGGGTCCAAAGATGCAGCCCACTCACCCCCTGCCATTTATTCTTCCTTCTGTACCCGGATTATGTCCAGAACATTGCCTTGCCTGGACCTACACATACACACAGTAGCAACTTCAACTGCCAGAGCACATAACACTCCTCCACTTCTATTACATCACTCCATCACTGACCAAACAGTCCTTTTTTCCTATTAGAGGTTTAATCTGTCTTGAAGAGAGCCGTGAGGTGCTATACGCTGCCAATCATTAGAAGGGAAATGAGAAGTGAAGGTTCAAGGCCATTAAAATATCTTCTTTTTTTTTGAATAAACAAAAAGTACTGCAAATAATACATTAAGAGTTGGATTTTAATATTATTATGTTTCTTTCCAAAGATTGCTCACTTCCTGGCTTTAGTTCAGCGGGCAAAGTCACATGCACGTGCCATCATGACAAACTGCTTTTCACTCGACAAAATGTGGAGAACTGCCGTCGATTAAATCACCAAAAGCGCCGTGCTGGGAAAAACGCAACGGAGGAAAATGTTAATTAAATGAGAGGAAACACAGTGATCAAATGCATCTTTGTGAAGTAATGTCTGGTTGACATGACATAAATAGCTCCAGAAAATGTTTAATCAGGGAGACAGAACTCATGACACCTTAATAACAGCACTTTTATGGGGCTCCAGTTCCCTGATGCTGGCACAGCTTAGCCTCCAACAGAACCGTAATTGTGGACTTCCTATGTAAACGGGCAATTCAATCAAAACGTTAAAAAATGCCACTTTGTATAAACTCGCTTTCAAATGATACAACTATACTGATGCACGTAATTAGTTCTATATTTTTGGCTTTAATGTATTCTAAATTTGCCATTTGATGCAGTGGCGTGTTTACAGGAATAAAAGAGCTTGGAAAATCTTGGTTTGGGTGAGTGGTAAACAAAGCTAATCTGCAGTGATGAAACAGAGAATTCAAATCTAACAAAATAAACACGTGGAAATAACAGACATCATCTTTGATCCGCTAACAATGGCCCACAAAAGTCAGCACTGAAGACGAATGCCATTTTAATTTGGCGCTACAAGCTTGTAAAGCAAATGAATGGGCCAATCTTAAATGACCGAAGCGATAAATCCACGTGAGACATTTTAGACATTTTAGTTTGCTTTGTGTTAAATACAGTGCATAGTTAAAAATAAAAATCTTTCAAAGACACTGTCAAGGATCTTCTTGAGAGGCTACCTTAAATGATCCAAGCATATGCTGAAGGTTAAATAGCCAGCCATGACCAGCCATAATCTTTTAATAGTTCTGTAATCGCAACCTGCTGTTGTGAATCCGCATGTGAATCCCCCAAAACAGGCAGTCTAAGTCCTGCTGCTCTTGGACGGAAAAAGAAAAGAGGAACAGAAGACGAGCAGTAGCTTTCTACCTGCAGCTATGCTGTATTTTAGGGGTCATGGCTAGCACACTGGATAGACTGCGGCTACAATTCAGCGTTTAAAGCTCTAGGGCCCTTGCGGTGGTTTCCACACTCTAAGTGCTTGGGGAATTACTGTAAGGGTCAGATTGGAGACACTGTGGTCAGAGCCAGCATGGCGGCCTTCAGCCACACTTCTGCTGCGTCCTTAACAATGCCACCACTCACACCACAGCAGAGAAAGTGGCAGCAGCCACAGCGCTTCCCTCAGGCCTTGCATGGGGGGGGAAGGGCACCAGAACCTACTTAACAAAAAGTCTATACTCTCCTGACGCTTTTATGGGAAACGCTCAGACAAAAGCGATGGTAAAAGAATGTATTTCCAAATCCAGTTTTCCTGACAGCAGGAGGGTCATTTGGGGAAACGTCAAAACTTTCAGAGCCAATTTGAGCGCAAAACAAACGCTGCGGAGCAAAACATTAAACAGAGCAGCCCATCAGGCTTCTCATGGAAAAGGAAAAAAGTCTTGAATCCATGCGCACAGACATGCAGACTCCTTCTCAATCGACTGCGCGGACTGCTCGCTCTGAACGCCACATTTAACGTTATTCCCTCTCTCAAGTTACAGGCCAGATGAGGAGCAAAGATCCTAATGATACTCATCATGACAGCAGACGAGACTGCAGCGTCCACTGCGGATGGTTTTCCTCTCTCGTTCTTACTTCGCTATGATACTGATAGGAAACTAGCAGAGGAGCGGTGGAACGCTATGCAAAGCAGAGACATGCCAAAGCTTCCGCCTGCATTCTGGTAATGACTCTTACTGATTGACTGTGGCATACGAAATTACCTTGGCTGACTCCAGTCATTATGTGCACCTTCATCATTTAAAGCTCTGACTGAATGGTGAAATTCAGCTCGCGCACAGGAAAAGGTCTCAAAACATCTTCATGTAGGGAGAATGTCATTAACAATGCGAGCGAAAATGCAGGATATTCAGGATTTTGATGTGTGAAATAATTTACGATTATACTGTACCTGAGTCCAGTGGATCTTCATCGTCTACAGTTTTCATTAATTTGGACTTGTAGTCTCGAAACTGCATGTACTTAAAGAGTCTTCGCAATTTCTTCTAAAGGAGATAAAAGAAAAGAATAAAGGTATGAGGCTGTGAAAAGTTGATCTAAGACAAAAACACTGTCGAACAAAAGTTTGGGAGCAGTTTTGTATAACTTTAACAGAAATTTCACAAACTTTTTAAAATTTCGGGATAACTAAATGTTTAAGATATAAACAAAGTCATTCAGAGTGGTTGAATTTGAATTGCTCCCAGTGGTGGTGATAGGAACCAGACGTCTGAAGCGTTTAATGCATCTAAAAGTTACCTTGTGACATTAAATTACAACAAGACATTGTTTTACGATGGTTTGATATTAAGTTTTGCCCTAAAAGACATTTCAAACTATTTTTTAAAACTCAGAAGACGTGTAAAGTTTACTGGTTGCTTTAGATAGTAAACAAAAAGGCTATATTTGTATTGCAGTCATTGTGACCCCTGGTTCCCATTATGCTGCCCCATCTCACATCCAAACACTTACATTTAAACAGTGGAATTTTGTTTTGACATATTAAACAGAATTACAGAATGTGATTTCTTGTTGCAAAAGTAGGATAAATGAAAGGACAACCGACAAACTTTGGGAAAAATGCCAAACTCCACACCTTGTTGTGATGTCAGCACTTTGAGATATTTAAACCAACTGAGGTCTAAAAGATTTAAAATAAGCACTTTTAACAATAGTTTGGAAAAAACAAATTGTCAAATCATTTTTTATGCAAAATAGGCTCTTTATATCAAGTTAAACATGATCATGAAAATGAAGCTGAATGGGGCAATATACCCAAAGTACAACCCCAATTCCAATAAAGTTGGGACAGTATATGAAATGCTAATAAAAACTAAGTAGTGATTAGTAAATTCTCTTTGGTGTGTATTAAATGGAAAAATGCTATAAACACACAACATTTTATGTTTTACCTTACGCACTTCATTGTTTTGGTACAGAAAAAAAAAATTCAGATTTAATGCCTGCAACACATTCCAAGAAAGTTGGGACAGGAGCATGCTAACAACTGTGCAACATCATCTTTCCTTTAACAGTATTTAATAATTGTTAAGGGATTTAAGATACAAACCGATACAGTTTGGAAAGCGTATTGTTTTGACATTTATCCATTATACAAGCCATCTACTGTGCAACCATATGGGTCCTTTGTTGTTGTATTTTAAGCTTAATAAGACATATGTTTTTGGTGGGTGACAGGTCTGGACTGCAGTCAGGCAAGTGTAGCACCCACACTCTCTGATTATGCAGCCATGCAGTTGTAACGTGCAGAATGTTGCTTGGTGTTGTCATGTTGAAATAAGCATGAGGGCCCACTGAAAAAGACGGCATCTAAAAGGCAGCACATGTTATTAGTATTAATGGTGCTTTCACAGATGTGTATGTTACCCACTAACACAAATGCCCTCGTCCCAACTTTTTTTGGAATATGTTGCAGGTATCAATTTCAGAATGAATGTATCTTTACAAAAAAACAATGAATTTGATAAGGCAAAACATCAAATATCTTGTCTTTGTACTCTTTTTGTTCAAATATAGTAAATATTAGGGGTGCGGGAAAAACTCGATTCTTAGATGCATCGCGATGCGGACGTGAACGATTCTGAATCGATTCACAAATGTCAAAAATCGATTTTCTAAATATTTAATTTATAACGTAAAGTTGACGGAACGCAAAAGGCGGAATTTGGAAGTGGGTAAGTGCAGCGCCCGGACAGTCTGTGGCGGCACATAACAAAAACAACCGGATGAGCGAGAAATCCGACCGGCTCTGCATTAAAGCCAGGTTAGCTAGATCAGGAGTCACAACCCAAATGTTAATAAGAGCCGTTTTGTCCTTTCAACAGAGTCAAACCACCTTGGGAGCCGCAACATTTAATGTCCAGTATGTGTTAATGTCGTAGTATGGGCTAAAAATATAAACGAGAGCGCAGATTTACTTCGCTCTGCTTTAAGCTATAGCCGCTTTCCTTCCATCTCCGCCAGAAAACCTTTGTTCAAAACTAGAAGAGTTTCTTGTAAAATGTCTCAGCGTCCGTCTGTTTTACGAAGCTGAGGTCGCTTCTCATTCGCCAGAAAATACGACAGAGAAGCGAGTTCATTTTCGCAGCTTTTTTTTTTTAACTCTCGTTGCAGATTTAACCAACCGCGCTGCTTATAAATGCGAATAAGTCCTCCAAATGCAAATGTTCGTCTTAATCTGTGTTTTTTCGTTCGCTGCTAGCGAGGCCAGACCTCGGGGCTATGTGAGCTGCTGTCTGCTGTCTGTTCTCAGTCGTTGAGAACCAGGGCTTTCGCGCTATGCTGCACACTTTGGAGCCGAGATTCAGCGTCCGGTCTCGTTAAAGTGAAACATGGGGGAAAGAAGAAAAGGTGTTCCCAAACTTTTGACAGCAGTGTGCATATTTTTGAAATATGAGCACAGTGGCCTAATTGTAAGAGAGCTGTGATTCCAGTGATTCCAAAGATACTGCAAACTTACTGGAATAATCAACTATCAATTGCTGAGAGGCCATAAATTAACACCAGCTATCAGGTATATTTGTTGGGTAATATACTGTGCGAGGTCTGTGCTCTTTTACCTTGTCTTTCCTCATGAGGAAGATGATATCCTCTGGCGAAATGGCCCGAGCTCCTCGGAGGAGAGCCACCTCAGCTGCCTGGTGGAGCTGGAGGGAGGGAAGGAGAGAGGGAGGGAGAGGGAGAGAGAGAGAGAGAGAGAAAAACAAGAACTCTTCAGCTTCTGAAAAAGTTTTAACGCCAGTCAGCAGTCAACAAGATCACGCTTAAGATGTTTATTCTACTTTCTGCCAGTCGGTGCATGTTGAGTGAATGAGTCATAGCATCTGCTGTTTAAAAACCTTGAGACCTGATAAGAAACCGCATATTTTGAGACCAGCACTTTCATAGTCACATGGGGTCTTCATAAACGTTGGCCAATTTTGGGAGAGCTAACATTTGTTTTGCTTTCTCAGCGCTCAAATATGACGGCACGGCTGTCCTTGCTTTCGGGAATCAACAAGGAAAGAGGAGCGTTACTCAAAAACAAGTGTCAGTCATCCAGCAAGCCAGTGCCACCAAGGTGCCCACCCTGGGAGCCCACAGACACTGATGCTTGATATGGCATCAAAAGATAATCAAAACAGTTGATGAGTATTTATAAAATAACTGAGCTTTTCCCTGATTTTGAGAACATGTCTTAGAAGTCAAGAGTTATGGCTATACTTTCCAAATATAATTACATAATTACATATAACACATAGAAAGTGTGATTGTGTAATTACATACAATTACATTTCAAAAGTAAGTGAGTTATGCAATAAATTACTTTTACGATAAATTTCTGTTCTGAATCGAACAGTTTGAGTCTGCAAATTTTTTCTGTTTAATTCTGCAAATTTCAATTTTTCAATGACAAAAATGTGGCAAATGTGCGTTTTTTTACAAGATGGTAAGACGTTTCCGAGTGATGATCGAGAGGGAGATCGCGAGGTCAGTCCTTAGCAGTCCAAGGCATAACTGGCCTTGCTCTCTCTGGGTGGGCAGGATGGCCTTCCCTCTCGCCCATCACCCAGCACAATGCTACCCATGCAGGCATCTGTTAGCTTGGAAGCACTGAACTGCTAAACTGGGAGGGGAGACTGTATGCATAATAATGACTTCACATTTAAAATGAATATTAAAATAAATGTGGTATCAATTCAAAACAATTTTGACCCAATTCCTCTGCTTGCTTCAGTGATCTACGAGCAAGATTATTATAATAATTATTGGCAAATTGCAACATGTTTTTGTTCAGTGATATCTTTGCTACTTAAGGGTTAGAGACTCTAAAATTTTCATTGGCCTCAAGACCATCATGTAAAATCTCTGAATAACGTCTATGAATCTGTGGCAGCAACAGAGGAACAAGATGCTATGCAAACATCTGATCTAAGCACAAGTCCTCCTTATGTGGGTGAGGTTTGGCAATTAAGTCGTTAATATATGTCAAGGTCTACTGCATAGACTTTACTGAATATAATGCCCTTATTCATCTTCTTTATTGGGTTATGGCTATAAGAAGGACATAGGGATGTTGCAATCATATGGAAACAATCTCTACAAGCTCAAGAAAAGACAGACAGTGAGAGTGAATGAAGAATGCTCCATCGAGGCGACGCAGCCGTTTCATTCCGTTGCCAAAAAGAGCAGAAACACCTCATCTATCACTGTCACGTTCAACTGAAAATGATAGCTATCCAAATGTAAATCAGTGAATGAAACGAACTCTTTGGAATTAAGGGAGGTTACAGAAAGACTACAGTGTCAACCTACTGATATTTTTAACCCTAACCTTCCAGCAGGAAAAGAGGGTCATGGGTTAAGTTAAACCACTCATTTAAATCTGTTCTACACCAGAAGGATTTTGTAGGACCTCATTAGTACAGGTAATGAGCTGAGACGTGATTTATGATACAAAGAACAAAAATACAAATGCATGCAAATGGAAAAAGGAAAGTTATTTGCAGATGAGAGGTGGCATCACTCTGAACATCTGGTCATTTTATACTGACCGTGAGGTCAGAATTTACAAAGGGAAGTGGCCATGCAGTCCCTATACACCAGTGTTGCATTGATGCAAAGAAAAGAAATATGATTCTGCTTTTTCAGTGAGAAGAGAAGCAGTGCAGCCCTCTCTTGCAGGCACATACAACTAACTCTGTAAGTTAAATGGACAAGCTCGTCCAAGTAAAATGGATGAGTTTAAGGGCGCCAACACACCAGTTTGGCAATATTTTCCAACCAAATGAATGCAGAAAACCACTGGATGTTTGCAGTAATCACTTTCCATTATTAAGTAATATTGGAAGCTTGCCCAGTTGGTAATTACATGGTAATTATATTATCATCAGGAAAAATGTAAGCTATAAGGTAAGGCTCTATAACGCTCACATGTGGTACTAGGTTGTGTTGCTCAATGTCATCAAATACCACCTACTTTGACGGGGAGGGGCCATTTCATGCCAAGCATAGATCAGCTCTGTTTCTGTTATTAAACTTTTTTGCTTTTCCTTGCTGGTTCTTCCTGTCAGTTTCCCAGTGCCTCCACCAGCTGACAGGGGACCCCCCCCATGGCAAGAATGATGTCATATATTTTATACATATTCATTATATAAGCCTATAATACATCTCTAAAGAGCACAGAGTACTCCAGTAGGCCTAAGCAATGAGTGGTGGTGTGACTGGACATGTGTAACATCGAGATATGTTATTTGTCTGCCATCCATAAAGACACAGTAGCGGCAGACGTGACAGGATGGCTTTGAAGCACCATTATCCATCGGGGGCTGAAAAATGTGACACTGAAAGTGAGATGAGACAACAAGATGCAGGCAACTCCATGTTGTGTTACTCATGTAAGTCATCACTTGGTCCCTCGTTTCATTCAAGTGTCACCAAGTGACTTAAAAGTTTTGAAAGAGTTCACAGCCATCCACTACCATCGTGTGAATCTGATATGGCCCCAAACGCCCTGCAGTGCATTACATAAGAAATAAAAAGTGCAAAATATGCAAAAATATACACAGTTTTCTATAGACCTATAACATATTACTGGTGTGTAATTGTCATAGTTTTGAGACCCAAGCTGTGTCCATGATAGAGGGTACAGGGCAAACTCATCAGTCATTCTTCAGCTTATCATTACATGGAGGGGCTGGAGGGGCAAGTCACGTTTTGATTAGGGCCCAGTAAGGCTAAGATCAGCACTAATGCTTTAAATAGAGATTAATATAAATTTAAACCGTTGCACAGTTCATTTCTAATTTGTCAAGTACGGTTCTTAACCACCGAATTACTGAAGAAGCCCTTCACTGTTCTGTATGAAACTCATTCACTGGTTCTCAACTCCTTTAAGTGTATGAAGTAAAACAAACAGCAAGTAAACCAAAGAAGCCAAAATGAAATTCAGCTAAGATTAAGAACTCCTTGTGCCAAAAACCCAGACCACAACGTCTGATATCAGCCTGCGATGAAGAAATATTTATTCCTTCCAGAAAGCAATGAAGCTACTGAAGCTCCATCACATATCACTTTCTATTTGAGTGGTGTAATGTCACATATTCCTGGAACTGACTACAATTATTCCAAAAGAAAACTAAGATGTATGTTATTAATTGAAATGTAAACACTCAATATGTCTTGGCATCGGCTAAATCTAGAAATACATGAGAGTAATTCTTGGAGGACTGTAAACATTTGTTGGTCATAAAATCTGTTTGCTTGCAGATGTAGATCTGTGTGTGGAGTTTGGAGCACAAATAGGCCCCACACACGCACTCACAGGGGGAGCATTGAATTAAATGAGCTCGGAGGCTTCATTTAGTTCTTTCTGGCCTGGCATCGTACCAATGTTGACAGACTGGCTGCCATATCTGTCCCAGCATTTAACAGGGAAATAGTTTTAGTAGACAAAAATGGCTTTAAGTATACCTCTCATCCTTCACTCTGCACTGGCCAAAGGTAACCGAACCCAAAGAGCCACGTGTCTCAGAATCAGGCGCTATTTGGGTAATTAGTATTTACAAAGGATACTATGACATGTTGACCCTTTAGCTCCAAGTATTCAGCACTAAGGGCCTCATAAGACCTGAATATTATGAGGAAAAAAGTGAAATAAGTTTTTCTGAACCGTTCAGATGAAGGTGATCATTCAAATTGCAACAAGAAGCATTGTGAAGAAACATCTTGTAAATGTGCTGTTCACTCCACAGTCCATACAGTCAATATATGGAAACTAAGTTAAGTTTTAAATTCATTGTTTTTTCATGAAAAACAACACATCTACATATATTCGCCTAGACAGCCTACAGCAGTTTAGCCCCACCCATTGATGCTGAAGTTATAAGGAGTGTTTCAGTTCAGACTGCTGTTTGAACGAGGCAAAAGAAAGGCCGGCCAATGAGAACAGAGATCATTTACATATATCTGACTTAAAAAGCACTGTCACAAAAACAGCCTGCTTACTTTTAAGAAATAAGATGCTGAAAATGGTCAAGTAACATGAATGATGACTTTTTGCTACGTAATTCAACACAAATTCTAAGTATATATCAGTAAATAATAATAATAATAATAATAATAATAACAACAATAATAATAACAACAACTAAAATGCAAGAAAAACATTGAACATGTTGGGCATGGAATGTATTTTTCCCTTCTCGTCTAAAGTTTCCCATCATAGTACATATCAGACCAAGAAAAAAGCTGTATAAAAGTGAAACTCAGTAGAAACGGATTTATTAGACCTCACTTAATCAATACAGTTTCACATAAACCTGAGACTATATTAGCACTGACTAAATTTGACCCGAATCCCAAATAAATGGAATAACTCGATCCCCATTCTTCCTCCGCTGCTCTTTTAACGCCAGTTTTATTTTCCGTACCATTTGAAGTCTCTTGCTCATCAAACAGATTCTGTAAAATAACAGATGAATTTTAGTAATTGCTCTAATTTTACACTCAGATGAAAGCAACTCTCCTGAGCTGTGAGACTGAATGATGTTGGCTGGGTTATTTCGTTTGGGATGGCTCTCAGACTCAGTGAACACTGCGATCTCTGTGGTCTATTTCCAGCAGCTCAGAAGCCGGCACTGTTGACAGTTTACTTGAGCAGCGAAGG